TTGGATGACATGTAATTTGACATAAAATTGGGTTAATGACACATTAAATCTTTAGGGCATCTCTAATGGTTGCACCATTGCACCATTTTTTTGTGCAAAATTGCTCCAATGTAACACTAAACTTTGCATCATTTTGGTGTAAAATGGTATAAAGTGAATAGTATTGTACCATATTTGGTGCAACACTATTCATTACACCATTTTTTGCACCAAATGGTGCAATGTCCATTTTGTCCTTATTTTTCATTTTTCAATATGCTACTTAAGGGTATTTGTATCATTTTCATTCTATAATGATAATAATAATAATAATAATAATTAATTACAAATAATATAATCAATAATAATTAACGTAATTCTTAATTTAACGTAAAGTTTAATTCATAAAGTTTACGTTTAAAGTTTAATTTAACGTAAAGTTTAGATTATTAAAGTTTATTATTTTTGTAAATTTAACGCAATTGTTTATCATAAATTAATAATATAATCAATTATTTTGTTCAATTTAACGTAATATATAAAACACGTGAATAATTTAGTAATCAATATATTTGTTAATTTAACGAAGTTATGATTTAGTAATTTATATAGTTATAAAATAAATAAATAAATAAATAATTTTTTTAAATAAATACATTGTCAAAAATCTAAAAAATGAATAAAATAATAAATCACTATTCATTTTGTGTAAGTTTTGGTGTAATGGTTAGAAAAGAATTTTGGTTTGGTGTAAATTTTGGTGCAACGTTGGAGATGACGTTAGGGGTAGTGATTTGATCACTTTTATCCCAAAGAGACGTGGCTTATACTTTCTAAATGCAAAACTTTTATTGGGTCTATCAGCAGTAATTTTAGATGATGAATTTAATCTCGCAAAATTATGACATTGTAAACTTGGTCACATTGGGTTGAAAGGTTTATAGGTTTTACAAAATAAAGGAGTATTGGAAAATCAAATATAGGTGAATTGTCTAAATGTGAACAATGTTCGATTAGAAAGCAAATTAAGTTACATTTTCGCACTAGTAATCATAAATCAAGACAAATTCTAGAATACTTACATGCTGATTTGTGGGGCCCTGCATCCACCCCTACATTGTCTGTTACAACTTATTAAAATTGATAATACCAACTCTATCCCCTTAGAAACAGCAACTAATGGGCCTGACCAGAATGAAAGTAAGCATAATTTGGCTGAACCTCAACAGTATGATGACATTAATACACCTCTAGATGAATACCAGCTCACTAGAGACAGAGATAGGAGGCAAATTAAACCATCTGCTACGTTCAGTAGTGATGACTTTGACTTTGTGTCTTTGTTCACTTACTAAGACGAAACTGAATCTGAACCTTATTCCTATCATGAAGCCTTGAAATCTAAAAATTCTAAGTGGTGATTGAGTACTATGGAAGAAGAAATGTCTTCCTTATACAAGAACAAAACTTGTGAATTGGTTGATAGACCTAAGGATAAGAAGTTAATTGATTGCAATTGGATTTATAAGATAAAGGAAGGGGAATGTGTCACTAATAATGTTAGATACAAAGCTAGACTTGTTGCCAGAGGTTTCACACAAAAATAGTGACTATGATGAGATTTTTTCCCCTGGTTAAATACACAACAATAAGATGCATTCTTGCTTTAGTTGTGGAATTTAAATAAAAACTTGATCAATTAGATGTAAAAGCTGCATTCCTTTATGATGAATTGGATGAAGTGATTTACATGAAATAACATTTAGGATTTATTAAAGAAAATCCTGAAAAAACTATGTGTTTGTTGAAAAAAATCATTGTATGGCCTAAAACAAGCTCCAAGACAGTGGTATAAAAGATTCGACTCATTTGTCTTAAGCTTGGGTTTAGTAGAAGCTATTATGATACATGTCTTTATTATAAAGGAAGTGGAGGTAAAGATTCTTTGTATCTTGTGCTTTATGTTGATGATATGCTTTTTGTTAATGCCAATAAATCTGAAATTGATGATATCAAATACAAATTAAAATCAGAATTTAGTATGAAGGATCTTGGTTCCGCTAAGAAAATACTTGACATGCAAATCATAAGAGATGAGAAATCTGATTCCTTGTTCTTAAGTAAACAAGATTATGTGAATAATATCCTTAAGAGGTTTAATATGTTTGATTGTAAACCTCTTTACACCTTGCTAATCACTTTATATTAATATTTGATTCGTGTCCTAAAACTGAAGATGAATTTGAAAGAATGTCAAAAATGCATTATGCTAATATTATTGGTTCAATCATGTACTTAATGATTTGCACCAGACCTAATTTAACTTTTAGTATTAGTGTTTTGAGTAGATTTATGAAAAATCCTGGTGAAGTTCATTGGGAAGCATTGAAGTGGTTATTGAGATATTTAAAGGGTTCATCTAACTTAGAATTGATGTTTAAAATGAACAAAGAGGAGGTAATTTTAAAGGGCTATACATATTTTGATTTTGTTGGAAATAGAGATAATAGAAAATCAACTTCATCTTATTTTCACACTTTGTGTGGTACTGTGATAAGTTGAAAATCTTAGTTACAAAAAATTATTACTCTATCTATCACGGAGGCTGAATATATTGTAGCCATTGATGCCATTAAAGAAGGTATATGGCTCCATGGTTTGTTGGATAACCTTGGTTTTGCGGACCCTAATCCAATACTATATCTCTGACAATCAAAGGGTAATCTATCTGAGTAAGAATTCCATGTTCCATGATAGAATAAAATATGTTGATGTAAAGTACTACTTTATAAGGGATATTATCTCAAAAGGATTGCTGAAAATTAATAAAATATCTACTTTATATAATCCATCAGATATGGAAACTAAGGTGATAACTTTAAATAAGTTTCAAAACTGTTTAAGGATATTATCTATTAATTCTTTCCACTGATTGTATAGGTACCATAAAGCAACTGACATAATAAATGCTGGTAAAGCTCCTGACTGCACTATAGCCTAAAATTTGGAAGCAAGGTGGAGATTGTTGAGACTTGAACACGTGACCTGCCATTAATATAAGTGTGCTTCCAAATAATCTGTTGAAGTCGTGTTTTGAAATAACAACTTTCTTAGTGGAGGCATTCTTCTGGATTTTGACACGTGGTGTCTTGATGGCCGTCGATTGGGTTCTAGATGTTTCCAGCAATATATTCTTGTGTGACTCTTTCACCGGACAGAATTTTGGAGAGTTTATTCTGGCTTTGAGGTCTGGCTCTGGAGATCTCTCTTCTCTGTGAAGAACTCCTTCGTGAATTGGGATCCAAAAATCTGAGTGTTCCAGTTCGTAAGTGTTGTGAAAACCTTTGTTACACTATAGATACTTGTAGTTGTGTGCTGTTCGATGATGGTGTTGTATGAATCTGTGTCATTCGATGAGAGCAGTGTTGGGTTTTTCATAGACCTGTGCGATTTGGGGCTGATTCCTTAGTGCATAGTGGTCAGCCTTGTGATATCTCTTAAAGATAAGTCTCGTACTTGGTCTTTGTAATTTCTGGAACAATATTGTATATTCTTGTAGCCGGTTTTTTGGCTTTATAGTGCAACCAAACTTTATCAATTTTTAATGGATGTTCAACAAGGGATTAGGCATTAGAAGTAGTCGCCGAACCTCTGAGGCTTCAGTCGAAAAAATCTCTATGTTGATTTTTACGTCTCTGCATTATTCTTTACTGCTTTTGCATTTGTGGTTTTACGAATCTTGGTTAATTCCTTAAATGCTCCTCGACTTTTCACAGAGATTAAACCCTGTTGCTTGATTGTCTTACTGATTGCGGTGTTTAAATGATAAAATATAGAGTTCTTGATTATCAATGGTTCGATAGAACACGTTAATGCATACCATATGCCTAAGCCAAAACAACCATACGACACAAACCTCAGCCAAATGAACGGAATCGGAATAATGGCCAACTCATTAATCAAATTTCGATTCCAATAAAGAAAATGTTAATTACCAAATGGAGAATCTTATAGTTAATCTACAAATCGATAATATACTTTAGGCCAATAAAGAATAAAATATTATAAATTAATAAAACCGAAGCAAGAATATTTAACACATGAAAATGAAAGGGAAGAAAGAGCAGGAATTCAAAAGTAAAAGCAGAGATGGAGGTCCGTTCGTTTCGTCTAACGTATCTTTAGGCTCTGCTTCGGAGCTGGGTTTGGCCCTTGTGTTTGTATGACGTTGAAAGGATAAGAACGACCCCCACCCACTCCAAACGAAAATCCATCTGTCTACTACTCTTGAATATGGTTTTATTATTATTCAAGGACAATGCCAAAATAACAAATGTAAAAACAACCAAAAGAACTGCAAGAAACAAGGTGATTGCAAAATTCTCTCATCGATAGTGTACTTTGTGAGAGATCAAGTATTCTGGAGAACTCAAAGTCAGATTCACCAGATTTATTACATTCGCATATAATATTTGCAGCTTTTCAAAGGCAGACAAGATAATTGGCTTATGAAAAAGACATGTCACCATTTTACGAAGTTCACATTTTTTCTGGTCTATTGAAATAGTTTAAAACTGATGACAAATGCCAAAAAATGGTAATAGGACTAATCCAAACAAGTGGTGTTACCTGTTGGAGATTTCCATTTGTACCCGACGTTTGACACACCGGGTCACCCGAGGTGATGAGGGTGTCAGGCCCCACACATTTATTGGCATGAGACCCCGACACCCCATGTAAGTGGAAGGTAACTCGAAGTATCAAACTTCTAGTAAAGCTCTTATCTGTTACATACAAACATAGACAAGTCAAGCAAATGTTGCATAACTAATTCTTTTAACTGATGAATTGAAGTTAATACTCACTGGGTCATAGTCCGGCGATCCCTTGTCACCAGAGAGCAATATCATAATTCATAAATGTGTTTGGAAATCATATTAGGATTGAATTAAGAAATCACAAGTTCGTTATGCTGCATGTCTACACAAAATTTTTTCAATGAATAAGGAAGACCAACTTGATAAAAATAAAAGAACCAGAAATACATGTAATGTAGAATTCCATAGACACAAATGAAGAAGTAAATAGACTAGCATTCAACAGCAACATGTCTTGAATAAATATTAAAACTATCTCGCGACAAAACCCAACAATAACTTAGTTAAGATCTAAGAATTTCAAAAAGTATGTGAGATTGTTGGTCGCTTCATCTTCTTAGTATTTTCTCTAAGGCGTTTAAACCCCTTGATTGAGAGTAAACTTTCCACATAGTAGTGAGCCCCAGACGCCAAATAATTATTTTTCCGAATTTCAACTGTCTTCATTTTCGTGGTTTCTAGGTCGTAAAACACCAGTCCCCGACTTTCTCTATTATATAAAAGTTTTCCGTTTCCAGCGTCTATGGTGTAAAAATTAAACCCAAAGTCGAGTTTAAAGGTGAATTTTTTGCTCCAAGATTCTTTCCCAACACTATCATTTTCAATTGTCCACACTTGACATATTTTCGTGCGATCAAATGCTGCCAAAGCAAACTTTTCCTTCCAAATTAATCCATACAAACGATCGGGATGATAATAATCTTGGGGAACAGGAACCAGCCTCAGTACCTCAGTGCTCATGTCAAATGAAGCAACTAGGATTTTGCTGTTACTTCCAAGCCCATTCCAGACAATCCAATAAGCAAATCCCTTCACCATTGTATCACAAACACACTGCTTGAAGGTAAAATCGCAATCAACTTTAATCTCTCTCCAAGACTCGAAATTGGCAGACCACACCTTGACCCCAGTTCTCGTTACCCTCCGTCTTCTATGAATTACTACTACCTTGTAATCATTAGCAATGAGATCATGACCAAATCCTACAGAAAAATCACTTGAACGCCCATTTATACCAGTTTCAATTTTCTTGAACAGCCGGGTGGAAGGATTCCATAGACAAATCCATCTACCTGAGCTCCCACATATACAAAGGAGGCCATTAATTGAGCCTACAAACAATACTCTTTGGCCAAAAGAGCCAAGATTACAATAAATATCCAAGTTAGAGAACGGAGAATAGGTCAAGGGATCGAAGGGAATTAACATTTTTTTGGAATTCGTACGAACAAGGATGGAGTGCCTTGTGGGATTGGAAAGAGAGCACTTGAGGTGCAGAGAGGCGAAGGAAGGGGATGAGATTATGTCGCGCCATCGGGTACATACAGACTTGAATCGGAGAAGGGATATCACAGGGAGTCTTGAAAGGATGTCCACCATAACATCTTTCGACACGTAAAATTCCTCTTTTCTTTTCTCAGGATCCATTCTTCTTAGCCTGCAGCAAGAAAAGGTTTTTTAATCAAAAGATACAGTAACACGGGATTGCTTGATATATATAGAGACAGCAAAGAGATGCTAAAAATGCATATTAACAGAACTTTTGAAACTATATTAAGAAAATAGATTCTTCATGTCCTACACAGAATGCAACAACACATTATCTATCCACGGGTTCCGTTTTCACATTATGAATGAATTTTTCAGATATTTTTCTTATATATTAATTACATCATTAAATAATATCAATGGCATCTTTTCACTTGAATTTTAAATTGCTGTATCATAATATTAGAGATAAACAACAAAGAAACGAAAAGGGTAAAATCAGTCCTAAAAGAAAGAACAAAGGCAACGCCAACCAGAATTGTTCACTGGCAATTTATGATTTTTCGTTTAAGCATCAAACGGAATTGTTCACCGGTAAACAGTAGTTTGTTTTTCTTAATATTAGGGGGTAAAAAAATCGCAGAATACCTTCGTCAATTGCTGCTGTTCTCCTACAAAGTACAAACACACACAGCTTCAATCATAGATATACTATAACCCACAGCCCAGCCCACACAATTATCCAAATATCGCAGCCGAACAGAGTCCAGACCCACAAGCCCGCCGTTTTCATCCTCCAAACCCGCCACCACCCTAAAAGAAAGAACTAAGGCAACGCTACCGGAATTGTTAGCCGGCAATTTATTATTTTCGATTGAGCATCAACCGAATTGTTCACCAGCAAACAGTAGTTTGTTTTTCTTAATACTAAGGCCCCGTTTGATTGCACGAAATTTTCCATGGAACTTGGAATTCGAATTCCAATTTCCACTTTTGGCCTGTTTGATTGACAAAATTTTCCAGGGAATTAATTTTCCATGAATTTCTAGGTACAACACCTTAAAACGTGATTTTCCACCTTTTTTTTTCCTAGGGGATAGGTGGTTTTTGATTTTCCACCTTTTTTTTTAATTTTTTTTTTGCTTTTTTTATTTATTTTTTAATTGTTGGCAATGGGAACAAATTTTAGGAATAATTGTAAAAGAGGATATCCCTGAAATTGACAATTTTCTTGTAAAACAAAGTCAAACGAACATCAAAAAATACTTTTACTTCAACATTTTTCACGTGAAAAATTTATACAATCAAACACAATAATTTACAATTTCCATGAAAACAATTTCTAGGTAATTCAATTCCTTGAAATTCATTTTCTTTCCATGTAATTTTCCTACTTGTAATCAAACGCACCCTAAAAAGAAAAAAGAACAGAAAAAAAATAAAAACTCGCAGCCTGCAGCCTGTTGTTCAACAAAGTACAAACACACACAGTTTCCGAACCGTTTCATTCACAGATATACTATAACCCACAGCCCGGCCCATACAATGACCCAAACTCGCAGCCGAACGTAGCCCAATTTCATGTGACCCAATTTAATCACTAAGCCCAACCCATAACCGATACCACACCCATACCCGACCAGATTCTCGCCAGAAATCCTCACCCCACCTTTGCACACCACCGCATTCGCTGCCTCCACGCACTCCTCTTCTTCCACAACCACCTTCCCCTCCTCAAATATCTGCAGCAAGTACCAGGACGAGTCATTCAAGCATTAAGCCTTGCAATTCCTCCCATTATTTAGTGTGTTAACCGACACCAAACCCATTAGGGCAGTAAAGAGATGCTAAAAATTAATATTAACAAAACTTTAGAAACTAAAATTATGAAAATTGATTTATTATTTTCATCCTCCGCACCCTCCACTAAAGAACTAAGGCAACACCAACCTGAATTGTTGACGGCAATTTATTATCTTCGTTTAAGCATCAACCGGAATAGTTCGCCGGCAAACAATAATTTGCTTTTCTTAATATTAAAAAGGAAAAAAGAACAGAAAAAATAAAAATTCGAAGAATACCTTGGGCACTTTCTGACTTTCTTTTAATTAACTCAAACTATCTCCAAATTTGAACACTAATTATGTATTATGATTTCTGTAGTAACTTTAGGTTCTATCTATTCTCTATTTATAGAGATGGAATTGTTCAAATCTTTGTACAATAATAATTATCCATTCAAATAGGAGTTTTAATTAAAGTCAAAATCCAACTAATTTACATATAATTACATGTATAGTCCTAAAATTTCAATTTCAATTATAATTAAGTTTACAAATTTTAATGTAATTACAACTAAGTACAAAACTTCATTGTAATTATAATTAAGCCCAAAATTATTATAATTATTGTGATTAAGTTCCAATACTTCATTGATTGTGGTACTGATCGAATATGTATTATCCAAATTCCAATAATTGGATCATGTATAGTTAATCATAGACTATCCAATTTAATTATTAATCTTTCTTTTTTCCATTAAAGGCAAAATACTGAACTCTTGAAATATATAAGATCATAAAAGTCAATAAATTTATAATACTATCATCTGAACTATTGTATATGTATTTTATTCCCGTTCGAGATTCGATAATTATGTATGAGCATAAATGATCATTTTTCCCTTCTAATTATTTTCATTAATTTAAATATTATTTTCTTCAACGGTCCTGTGAACTAATCACTAATGTTGAAATTTAGCCGTTGCTAAACACTGGACTCAGATTTTAACCGTTCAACAGAAATACTTAAGTAGTCACTCTACCCATTTTCAAGGTGACGGCTCCCGACATAAATTCAGGTTTTCTATTTCATTCATTTTCAAGCTCCCAACTCAATGAGATATTTGAACAATTAAATCGATCTCACACATTGATGATTCAAAGAATCATTAAAATCATGAAAAAGATATACATAACCCTATCAAGGGATTTAAATAAAATACACAGCGATAAAGTGAAGTTCAATTCTCCGCATGGTCATGCTATAAAATTAAACTCGACATGTGGCAGGTTCAATACACCCTAAGTGTACTGGTGTCATTTTAACTATTTCTGTAATAAGAACAAATCACAAACTGAAAAGTGAATTAATCAACACTACAACCTTCCGATACAAGGTGCTAATCCTTATACATTAGTTGTGAATAAATTATTTATGATCAAAATATAAGTTGTGTGACATTATACTTTTCAATGTAAGTACCTAAGTTATATTATCACAAGTGATCATAAAGAGATTAATTTTCATGTTCAATAGTAAATAAACGTAATAAGTAAATAAAATCACAATTTATCTATTATAAATTATTATTTTAGCATAACAAAATTTACTATATGGCACACAATCCAACATAACCCAGAGCCCAACCCACACAATGACCCCAAACTTCGTAGCCAAACGTAGCCCAATTTTACCACTAAACCCAACCCATAAGCAATACCAAACCTATACCCGATCCAAAGCAAAGTCAATTTTAAAATAATCGAAACCTAAACCACTTGGATCAAAATCAAAGGTTTCAAAATTGTGGTTTTGAATTGGTGGGCCACATGACAATTTTTACGTAATCAGCTCAAAAAATATATATATGTAATGTCCCAAAAATTTTGGTAGAATTAGATTTTATTTTTGTATGCTAAATATTAATGTTTTGAAATGTTAGGGACTAAAGTATATAGTAAATTTCAATTTTATTTGGGTTAAAATGTAGATATTGACGGAACAACAATTAGTATATGAATATTGGGCTTGTTGAATATATTGTAATAAATCATGCACGTTAGGCTTGAGAAAAAAGTTGATTTGAGCCGACCTCGACAAGAATAGTTGGATGCCAAAAAGAAAACCCATTATGTTTATCTTGTGCACAAAGACCTTGTAGTAGAGATTCCATCTAACTTTTTTTTTTATTTTTTGGTAGGCAAAATAGTTACAAAATGTGATGGCTGGCAGTAGTGGAATAAGGTGGAAGGCATTTTCCTGCCGTCTTCATCTACAATCATATCTGGATTTCTTAACTAGATGTATCTAATCCAGATGGCACCAATCTGTTGACCCTAAAAAAATGCGCCAACAAAATCCTAACCACATCCCCTCCATGTAGACTCAGCTGCACACTTAACACCTGTTAGAATGCGAAGGCCGCTAGTGAGAAAAAGGTTCTGCAACCATTTGCACTCAACGGTCAAGTCAATGGCAGGACAAGAGAAAAAGAAAGTGCAAGAGAGGGAGACGGGATTTGGCTGGGGTAAGAAAACATACCTTTTATTGTGAATCAAACTCATATATATAGGAAAATGTAAATGGAAATGGGCCAAGTCGGCCTAACCCAATCTTAGGCCCAAAAATACCTTGCTTGATTAAATAGGCTCAATCCAATTAAATAGTTGATGACATGTCAGCATATATAGGACTCTCTCCGTCATGCATATGCCACGTAATTTATAGGTGTAACAGAGGAGATCATAAAACTTCTCGAACACTTATTTTCAAGAAAAGATGTTTGACAACTTCTCAAATGTAGAGTTTAATCACATTTGCTTCTTTAGCTTTTGTTTCTTAGTTTCATTGTCGGTCTAGCAGAGTACTTTCATTGGGGATTTTGTTTCCGATCTCTATGTGGTTCACCACTCCACCGAAAATTTCCTCTGTCCTATCGTACTCCAGCTTGATAGTTTTCATCACATGTTTAGGATTGAGCCCTGGGATTTGACAAAGGACTTAAAAAGCTATCTACAAACGTTTTATGTCCGATCTCTACTTTATGGGATCACTGCCTATTTGTGATCATGGAGAGGTAAAACGGTGTTAGCTATTCATTCTATCATAATTAGTGATGCTGTCAACAATGCCATATTATAGAAACTGTAATCAGATGTGCATTAGATAAAGTATCAGTGGTGCTGTAATTTTTATAAAATATATTAATGGAAATAGGTAGAGATTTCACTGCAACAAATTTGTATAGTTACAATTTTGATAATATAATTACAACATTGTGACTCCACAGAGTTTGTAGCTATTAAGCTCAAGGATCATACCATGACACTATGGGAGAGGGTAATTGAATATATGTTAAGAAGTCAAAGTCAATAAAGAATAAGTTTTGCATTTGGCCAAGCATATCTTCTATGGAAGTCATGCACCTACCTCAGAAATTGATTAACAAGTATATAGAAAAGAAACAAGATTTGCTTATGATTTTTATTCATACTGAAAAGAGCATATAATAGGATGCCTAAAGAGACAAATTGTATCTAAGATATTTTAATACAATATTATTGAAAATGTATTTAGTGAAGAAGTCACGAGAACAAGTTTAGTAGTTATGGTAGTAAAGAATGCTCTATGTCTATAGTTTTACATAAAGGTTCTGCTTCTTGTTTTGAAGTTTACGAAGGTTTTTCATTTTGTTTTTTTTTTTTTTTTTGTGATTGGGTGTGTTTTTTTTTTTTTTTCATATATGAAAGTATTGTTTATGGAATTGGAGAATTTTGATTTTCTCAGCTCCTCTTTTTAATCCTTTGCTCATAATGACATAGTTAATCAAAACTTGAACGATCACCAGTTCTAGACTGATATCAACTAAAAGTGTCAGAAAATAATACTTAGTCAGTTAGTCTATTTGACACAGAAATGATAACATTCAATTCAAAGAAGTAGGTAAAGCCTTAGGGTTGATTATTGACGTATTGCTTCTTTCGGGGCTGTGGCTTTTCTTAATTATACAGGATCAACAGTTGATTCAAAATATAACTGCACTCCATTTTATACCGGCATGGATAAATAACAATGTAACTGATGTTTGTTGGTGTTTCAACTCTGCTTGAGGCTACAAAAAAAGCTAACTTCAATGATATTAAAAGTCGAATATTAGCTGGATATGCAACTGGAAGGTACTGTATTATATAAATGACCATTCCACAGTAGAATTTATTGTTAATTCAAAGGCGTTTATGTTAATGCCAGAGTGAATTTAGTAGAGGAATTTGATTGACATATACATAGATGAATTCTATTGGATATATAGAGGCTTGCTTAGGTAACACTAATGGCAACTGACTCTAATTTACTTTGTATGAAAACGAAAATTGTATTTGAAGAAATCTCAGATAGAAACTTGGCTAAATGAATGGTATACTAGTCAAAGTTTTCTATTTCTACTAGATAGAAGAACTGTAAATGCTTAGTTTTCTTTTCTTAAATCGATTGAGGAATTCTGGTAATTTGGCGTTGCGAGTATTTTAGGTGGTAAGTTAATTGTGAGCAGTGCTAAGGAAATTGCTATATGGATATAGTAACACTTGACTGTACCAATCAAGTATTTTGTCACTTTTTTCCTTGTGTACATAGCTACTTGATTCCTTGTATTTTGGAATGGCAACTAGTCGATTAGCTGTCTTCAATGCATCTATATTTTTCTCGTGCAAGATTGCTGAGAACGAGCATGAGCATGGATTGCTATCTAAAAGTCTTTATATGAATAAAAACCAACTTAGACTTGCGATGGTGGTGACTTTGCCATAGAATGTGAAATAAAACTAGACCCTGAAAAGAAAGTTAGAATAGTCATATAGATACTAGTAATCCACGAGACAAGTCATAAGCTTGCATTTTTACTCTGCCTTATATTACAAATTAATAGATAAGTTTGGCTAAGCTTTACAAAGTCCACTTCTAAGTAAATACGTAAGTTTTTAAGATAAATAACTTGTTTTGTTGGTCAAAATTGGAAATAAGCAACTAACTTCTTTTACTTAGAAGTGAGAAAAAAAGTAACTTATCAGAAAAAGTTTAAAAACAATAATTTACTCAAAAAGTACCTCTGCTTACATTTAAGCTTAGTCATGTATGCTCTTAGAAGGTAGTCAGATCTGCTGTTCATGATCCTAGTGATTTTAAGCACATTTACCATTTTACCTTAGTGATTATAACGATTACATTTAGTAGAATGATATCAGTTCATTCAATTTACATTAATTTAACTGTTAACTGTCTTGAAAAGCTGCTAACGACGTGATCTTCTGTTCCTGAACGATGGAAACTGGTCCAACTGGCTTCAACTAGGATAAACCAATATTAGTTGCACGGCGAATATCAGACAAGTATCTTCCACAATCCATGGCAGAAGAATTTCAAAAAGGGAATTCCGATTTGGTAAAGCTCAAGCTGATTGAAGGCACCAGTCATATGCCTCAGGGGTACTTTTAATATAACTACCGAAAACTATTGATGTGTATTTACCGTTATTTTTTCTGCTTTCTTTTACCATTTTAGCTTTACAGTTTGGAGAAAGTAGTCGACGCCTTGAGATATTTTTTTCTGATGCACAAAATGGATATTTACATTGTTGATCTGCTCAAAGGCTAATCTTTTTAAAGGTAGATTCTGAACCTAGGTATAATTGTATATGTATGTTATAAATAATGCTTTTTATACTTTATTGTATAAATAATAGTTACAGATAAATGACATGAAAGACAGAAAGATTATAATAATTGAATTTCTTTCTTCTCCCCCCTCCCCCCCTCTCTCTCCGAAAACAAAAAGATGGCCCAAATGTCTGGGCCGTTCGGAAAATGATAGCCCAAACATCCAAGCAGCCTCCTCTTCGTCACCTACGTTTTCACAGGCGACGTGGCTCATGGCGGAGATCGCCATTCCACCTTTAATTTTCACTTTCCAAACCATTATATCTACAACATAAAACTAGAACTACACCATATAAAACATAATACATTGTTTTTGTAGGTTCAAAATTCACTTTCTTCAAAGAAAAGGCAATCTCCGGTCTCCGGCATGGTAAAATCTAAAGTTTGAGGTCTCACTTACAACTTTTTCATAAAATAATTATTCTTATAAATTTTGAACCAACTCTTCTCGCCAGTCATTTTCTATTCAGTATGTATGCTCAGTAATGATAAAATCAGATATACAGATTGAAAACAATCATTTTCCATTCATTTAAAAAAAATCAAGAAGAAGAAGTCGAAGAATACAGGCTTGGACGGGTTCATATTATACATTAGATGTCATCCTGGATTCATTTTGTAGATTAGGTCAAAGAAATTAAAAGAAAAAAGGCATGCAAATTGTTACTCAGTGTTTTATAGTATATGGTGAATGTTATAGACAAGCAAACATTGCATAACTAATTATTTCGACTAATGAATAGAAGTTAATGCAACAAAGCATACTTTTCATAAAATAATTATTCTTATAAATTTTTTGATTTGTGATCAATTAATAAATTGTGACATTTAAAATCTTTAATTTGTAACCGTGAAATAATTTACAACCTTTAAAATTTTTTATTTGTGTTCGAGAAATAGTTTGTGATCAATTAATTTGATAATTTGTGATCAAATAGTACAGAATTGTAACCTTAATACATTTAATTAATAAAATATATATTTAATTGATAAAATATATATTTAATTAATTATTCATAAATAAAATTTAATTAATATTCGATTTTTGAAGTTTTAAACATTGTTTCTTAGTTTTGAAATTGACCGTACTTAATCTCTTATACATGAAATTTTCCAAAAAAAATTATGGTTTCACTACACAACATTTCATGTGGTTGATTTTAGGCTTCCAATCTATTTAAGATCTAACTTCATATGATCAAATTTTTTAGTACAAAATGAAAAAACTTTTTACATGATGTAAAGTTGGAGGGCAATTTGTCATACCACTTAAAATTTTTCTTCAATTTAATTGAAAATTCTATGCTATTTTAATGTTCTTACTGCCAACTTCAATTACGTGAAGACGCTGATTTTCATAAATTTAAATAAATTAAAGATACAAAACTTCAACTTTTAAGATTGAGAAGTGTAACCTTAATTTCCCCCAAAAAGTTGTCCATTCTATTGGCATCAGAAAAATAGTTGGGCTGTGGCTGACTGATCATATAGTCTGATAGATTATGGCCCTATATGCAAAAACATTAAGCACGTGTGAGCTTTTATTGGTAGTACACGTGACAAAGTTTTATTGGTGGATGAACAATAGGTAAACAAAAAATCTCAAGGCCTATTTCTAGTCCCTTTTTTATTATTATTATAAAAAACTCATTTTTCATAACTTATTTTTATCTATACATTTTTTCATAAAATAATTTTACAAGTAAATCGAAAAAAAATTTCTTACTTTTTTAACCATACATTCTCAAAAATTAGTATTCCATACATTTCCTTACAAAAATGGGACTCAAACATAATTTAATTTTACTTAAGTAATTTTCTTTCACATTAATCACGCAACTACTAGTAGCTTTCAAACTTGGCAAATATATTTTAAGAAAATTTACGGAATTGGGCAAATTTACAAAATTCGTAGTATGAAATAAAAATTGTGGTGGCAATATAAATACCTCACACTCTGCAAGTTTCTCCAAGTTTTTTTAAATGGACAACAATACCCTTTGCAGGGAAAAAAAATCATAAAAGAGAGATTTTTCTCAAATGGTCACCAAAGTTGGAGGGAAGTTTCAAATTGATTGCTAAAGTATTTTTGTGATTTATTTAGAGTATATTATAGAAGTGGTTGTAAACGGTTTAGATTTTAAGTTATATGAAAATATATGATAAAAAAGTAGATAGCAATTATGAATAATTGAAAAACATAAGTCAGATATAGGCCTAGACGCCTGGTTGTACATTTAAATGATATTACATAGCTAGTCATTCCTTTAGCAACATTAACTCCAAAATCGATGTTGGGTCGTTGAACCAACCTTGATATTTGTGCGTCCTTGTCGTGAAATTAGAAGTCTTCGAAATAGAATAAAAATCTTGAATAACTCCCTTCAGCCCTAATCCAAATTTCGATTGAAAAGCTTGTAACACAACTAAAAAATAGGAGGCTAGCTTTTAGGAATTGCTCGCTTCAATAGGAATCAGTAGAGGTGAGGAATTAATCTACAATTTGTTGCCTTTAAATGTATATACATATATACATACATAATGAGAACGGAAAGGGTTCATAAAATCAAATACATATGTTATAAAGAAAAAAAAAAGAAAAAGAAAAAAAGGAATCATAGAAATCGTAAGAAAGGCATATAAATGTTTTTAAGGGTTCAAGGTAATTGACTCCTTTTACAGT